ACCACATCAGCAGCGTGCCCCCACGTGGGCGCACGTGATCCTGTCCCCCCAATTTAGTATAAATACCTCGTGTAACCCTCGAGGAAGGGGGGCCGAATTCATTCTCTCTAAACTTCCTTGTAAAAGCACCCGTGCATTCTCCGTTATAATATAAATTGGGCTACAGGTGTTCCACCTAAAGTCCTACCGGTCAATCTGCGAGTTTTGCCTTTCTTACTTTGCCAAATCAAGCGAACTATTCTAGACCCGGTCTAGTATAGTTTAACCGGTCAAGTAATTTACACCATCAGTATATATATCAAACGCATCCGTATCCGTTTAAAGAGGAAATATATATCCGCATCCGTTTTAAACGGATATTATCTGTATCCAATTAAGGATATCCGATTCCTAACGGATACGGATTTGGTAATTGTATATCCGATCCGTGTTAAATCCGACCCGAATATGCATCCGTTTAAATAACCGTTTATCCAAATATCTGATCCGTTATATATAGTTTTTCCAAATTTTTTATGTTTATATTTTGTTTCTCTATTGATATTTCAAAGTATAAAACATTTTTATGCACAAAATAAATGTGTAGACACATAAAAATATGTGCAACATTTAAAAATATGTGTATATATGTGCTGTGTATATCTTTTTATCATATAAAGTTATCGTAAAATATCAAAAATCATGAAAACAAAGAACATAATTATCCCATAACAAATTATAGTTGATTTAATAATAGTTTGACTTTAATCTAATTTCAAATTGAACTATTGTTAAATTTAATTTTAAAAATTGGAAACGGATACAGATATATTTGAGTACGATTGGAGCGCGGATACGATTTTGATTTTTAGTATCCGTCAAGACCCGTATCCGAATTCGATATCCAAAAAAAATAAACGGATACGGATTTGGTAATGACACATCCGTTCTGATTAATATCCGTTTACACTCCTACTTCCTCCCAAATTATTTTTTTTGTTGTTATTCACATAATCAAACTCATTCACTATCTTTCTCTTATTTTATTATTCATTAATAAAATAATATAGTCATGTAGTTCTTGTTTCGTAGAACTTTTGATATAGTTTATGTGTGTGTGTGTGTGTGTGTATATATATATATATTGGTTCAAATGAGAATGCGATCTTATGAAAGAAATAAGAATGAATCTGATGCTTTAGATTGTGAGATCTAAGGGTTAGGATTGCATCAAAATTAGGTGCACCAAAATGGTTTGAAAATGCATCATGTCGAAATGCACCAAAATCCTTTAAAAATGCACTATCTCAAAATATGAGTGCAAGATGTAATCTGAGCCGCACGATGCATCCGATCTAAAGGCTAGATTTTATTCTTATTTCTTTCACCAAGGTGCATTCTCACCTGAACTGGCCCCTATATATATATATATATATATATATATATATATATATATATATATATATATATATATATATATATATATATATATATATGTAAATTTCATTTTTTAAATGATCGATTTAAATGGGAACAGAGGAAATACGTATTTTGGACCGCCCATTTCTTTCCCAAAATAAGTTGATGTTTGGTTTATAATGTTGATTGAAGTTGGTTTCAATTCACTATAATTAAAAATTGGTGTAATATTAAAAAAAACAAAAATATATATTAAAATTCACATCAAAAGTTCCACAAAGAATATGGTGACAAGATTATTTTGTTTTTACAAAATAATCGATGAAAATATAGTAAAAAATTAAAGTTAATTTTACCTATAAATAGTAACTAAAAGGAAAAAATATAAAATTTATTTTTGACCGAATGAGTACCCTAGAGTTACACCAACCTTATCCAATCACATAGACAATCATAGTCGGTAAAGATTTAAACTCTTGACCTATAATAAAATAATATATATATATATATTTTATATTAATTAGATAAAATAACATATTAGAATTTGTCAAATGAAATGTTTGAGTACAATATTGATAGTAGTTTTATGTTGAGAATTGATGCAATGAATGTGTTCTCATTGTATTTTTTCCTCACGTGCATATATGCCTGGCTATTCAAGAGAGAGAAACAGAAGGTTCTAAACAAAAAACAAATCAAATGAGCGGTAGTCTCTTTTTTCGGGTGTTTTCAATTTTTTTCGGTGTCTTACCACTTATGATCCCAACATTTTAAACTTTTCAGCATAAATCGAAACACAGATAAATTGTGTGAATTTTTTAAAACATGAAGATTTGGCATTTTTCACTACAATGGTAATTATGGTATAGCGAAGAGTTCCCGAGGTACCAAAGTTTTTGGTCCGAGATCACCTTAATTTGGCATCATATGGGAGCGGGTTGAACATCTTAAAGAACAAATTAAAGTAGCGTTGAATTAAAATCCAACACTTTATTTACTAGGGTAGTTATTTAGTAGACAAATGTTTATATATATATATATATATATATATATATAACTAGTGTAGTTATTTAGTAGATACAAATGGATTTCCTTAATTGGAATGAACCAAGCTAGCTAGTAGCATTGAGGGGGCAACCTGGGTGCAAGAACCACTTCGAGAGGCGTGGCTTTGGGCATGACTAGCCCCGGGCTCTCGGTCATGTCTACCTCCGAGTCCATTTCGGTTCCGAGCTCAAAACCGTGGAGTAGCTTAGCCAGAACCAAATGCAAAACTTGCATCGCGAACGATACCCCGGGGCACATCCTCCTTCCCGAGCTGAATGGGATGAATTCGAAGTCGCGCCCCCTCACGTCCAAGCTCTTGTGATCCGTCAAGAATCTAAACATCAATAAGGAAAATGATATAGTTTAGAGCGGAGAAATGGTTACTGGATTGGACCATAAGACACTTGGGCTGAACCGCATTAGAAGATCGAATCTAATCGGTTACTTAGTCCAACTCAAAAGCTTATATACCGATTACTTTTCTCTTCAAGAAACAGACAAAAATAGTGGACGGAACCTCACCTCTCGGGGCGAAACTCGGAGGGGTGGGACCAAACTTTGGGGTCGCGGTGCAGCTTCCAGAGGTTGACGAAGAGGCGAGTGCCGGCGGGTACATGGAAGCCGCTCAGGGTGAAGTCCTCCATGGCTTCCCGAGGGCCGGAGAGCGGGGCGGGGGGGCGGAGACGGAGGGTCTCCTTGATCACGGCATTCAGGTAGACCAGCTTCGGGATGTCGGAGGGGTCCGCCTGGCGGTGCAGTCCCACGTGGAGCTCGAGCTCGTCTTGCGCCTTCTTCAGAGCCTCTCTGTCGTTCAGGAGATGAGACAGTGCCCATATCAGTGTTGAAACTGTCGTGTCTGTCGCTCCTAAGAACAAAGTCTGCCACCCACAAAGTCGTTTCTAAAATGAGTTTGGGATGTTTTTATATATATGTCAAAATAAGACTTATAATAGGATTTGCTTGCCAAGCAATTGGCCTTGATGAGAGTGTCGATGTGACCATGAGGCAAGACTTCTTGATTATTATTTGCCTGAAAGGAAGACAGCATGACATCTATGGTACAGTGATCATCGGCATCGCCGTCAATCTTATGTTGTCGCCGGCTTTTCACCCAATTCCCCAACACTTCGTCCAACTCCTTTGCCGTCTTCTTCATTCTACCTGTGTATATTTATATGAGCAATAAAATAAACACACTGTACTACTACAAGTGGACGAAGTGGTCGTGTGATGCATAAATGTGGGCATGTGGCAGTAAAATGACACGAATAATGGTCGTTCCTACCCCTCTCCATGTGGCAGTTTTGACTTCTTTCGATCAATTATTTTCAATCTTTGAACTAAAATTAAATAAAATATATATTTTATATTAATTAGATAAAATAATATTTTAAAAATATATGATATAATAAATCTAATAAAACTATTTTTTAATTAATATCTAATACCATTTTAATTTACCAATTTTGACTGAAAAAGTTAAAAGTGACCAAATACTCGGGGACATAGAGAGTATTAATTTTGTAAATAGGTTACCTTAGATGCCCCCCATGTCTTATTATTCTATTCTTTCTGAAATTGATTACAATTTTTTTCTCTCCCATGTCTCTAACTTTTGTACATTTCTGTGTTTTTATTAATTATTTAAAAAAATAAATTTTTCTTGACACGTATTACTTTGTAAAACTTTTGACGTGTTTTTTTAGAATCTAAGTTTTGTTTTTAATCTTATACCGTATCATTTTTTAGATGAAATGATTTAAAAAAATTATGCGGTTTATTTCTTAATACGAAAATTGTAACGTAATTAAGGACGAAAGGAGTATAATATTGATGGTCAATGTCAAAAGAATCAACTCCAAATTAATACGGAGTAACATATTGCAACCAACATTGAAATCAGGTCCCCGTATCTACTATTCCTCCTCCTCAACTTAATGTTTTTAGTTATAATTCATTGGTCAAACTAATTTTATTTTATTTATATTTTATTTGATTATTTGATAAAATAAAATAACTTTGCTACCAATTGTTTTGTAGATTTTTTTATGGAGTAAAAAGTAATTTTATCTTGTAATTCTACAACATTTTTTCATTTATATCGATTTGAAAATAAATTCAGCCAAATATCATACTCATTAAATAGGAGCAAAAAAAGAAGACACTAAGGTTCCGTATGGTATACAAAATTCAAATTTTGGAATTGGAATTGTGGACAAATATTTGAATTTTGTTGTTTGGTATCACATAAATATGTGGATTTAGAATTGGTAGTGCCAAAAATAGATTGAAAATGAAAAATTTAATTTCATCCCAATCAATTCCATCGAATTTTAACTCTCATTTCAATTTCAATTTCGTCAATTTTGTGTACAAAACGGACCTCAAAGTGTGGTTGCAAAAACATGGGTCACTATAATCTGACTGTAGATTGGCCGTTTTTGGATTGTTCGTACGTGTGCTACACTGCTACCTAACACTCCAATAATAATCCTTTTTTGGACCAGAAAACCTTTGGGGCCATAGATTTTTTTAAAGACAATCTGCCGACTACTCTGTATCTGGACCGGATAATTCATACGTTCAAAACTGAAATCTAAATTACGGAGTATAATTTTAGAATTAATGAACATCGTTATAATTTTAGATTTTGTTAAAAAAAAATGACAACTAAAAAGAAAATATGGAGAATATATAAAGTTAGAAGATTCTTGTTTTTTATCTTCTAATTAACAATACAATTTCAATAATATCAATATATATTACCAAAAATATAGTGGATGTCAATATGCAATGTCATAATCTCACAATACAAACTTCTATTTTTGAAATAAAAATAGACAGTTTTTATTTTGAAGATAAATGTAACTCTAGTCCTAGTATAATTTTTCAGTTTTGACTTTTTTGCATTTAGAATCAATAAACTTTGTCAACTAACCAAATAAAATCTATATTAAATATTTATACAAGAATAACTCTATTTGATTTATCTCCTAAAATGTTTTCAAAACATTTCTTATTAATTGATATAATATGTAATTTTTACTCCCTCCGTCCTAAAATTAATTTCTCATTTGACTTTTCACGATCTCCAATGTAGTACTTTGACCATTAATATATCCATTTTTATATGAATATATATTATCAAAATTATATATTTCAAAACTATGTTTCAAAATAAATCTATTGATACTAAATTTATATGAAAATTTAATATATATTTTCCATAATATACAGTCAAAGTTTAAAAACTTTGACTACAAAAGTCAAAATGGGAAATTAATTGTAATATGCAGGGAGTATTTAACTATACTTGATTGGAAAAAGACAAATAGGGACAAATATCGGGAGACTTACGGGTTGATCCCTTGATGACATCCAACCATCCGAGCCAAGGAATGAAGTCAGAGAAGAAGAGCTGACCCGCCATGTGAAGGAACTCCGCCATGGCATTCTTACCCCTTTTCGACTCCTCCTCCTCCTCCTCCTCAGCGCCGCCGCCCCTTCCGCCGCAGTCACGACCGTATCTCTTCCCCACAATCGTCCTGACTCCGATGTTCATCATCAAGTCCCCCATCTTCTCCTTCATCTCCACCCGGACCGGACCGCCCCCGCCCTTCTCAACCCACGTCCCATACAACTCCTTGACCAGGGCGTCGATCTCCGCCACGTGGAGAGGGCGCTGGAGGTCGAGCTGGCGGTGGGAGAGGAGTTCGACCACCGCCACCTTCCTCATGTCCCGCCAGTACGCCCCGTACGGGGCGAACCCGAACATGGCATGGTCGTAGCCCATGATCTTGGTCGCCAGGGACCAGGGTCTGGTGGCCACGACCCTGTCGTTGGCGGTGAAGCACTCCTTGACCAGCTCCTGGGAGCTTATGACCACGGCCCGGTGTGACCCGAGCCTGATGGCGAAGGCTGGGCCGTGGGTGTCGGCCATGGCTCCCAAGGCTCGGTGGAGGAGGGTGTTCGCCCCTCCGAGGGCGGGAAGGTGGCCCACGAAAGGCCACGAACCCGAGGGTTCCGGGAGCGCCACCTTTCCGAGGCATGGGCTCTTCTTTCTTGAAGTGTAGAGGTAGTAGTAGATGATTATAGGAAGAGGTAAGAAAAGAGCATAAAGGACAGCGGCAAAGATATCCATTGCTTTGTTTTTTGATGAGGCGCTGCAACACTAATCAGGTTTTATAGCATCAGCTATTTACTCTCTTTTACTCCCTCTCTCCCTAAATATTTGTCACTTTTGTATTTTCAAGACAAAATATCAGACTTTTTAATTCATTTTATTCACATATTGGTATAGAAATAAAAAATAAAATTTACATATCAAAAAAGTACATAAAAATTTGTTTGGAATAAGAGGTGTCAAGAATATTTTCTTTTGAAAGCTTAGAAATAAACAAAAGTTTTCGTGACTACTGAAAAAGCAAATGTTGTGAATATTTTGGGACGGATGGAATATATAGCATCAATAATTGTCTCAGTTTCATTATTGTTTAAATTTGGCATTGTGTAAATTTTTTTAAATATTTTTAAAAGATATCAATAAAATAAAAGAGTTAAATATCTCTTTGAGCCGTGAATCACCACACCACCGACTCCTCTCAACCACCTCGTTGCCGCCCACTTCCATCTATCATTACTTAAAGTCTTAAATTAAACCATGATTTCACGTCTCTCTATATAATTTCTTTTAAGTTTCAGAATTCATATCATATCTTTGAAACGGGCCTTAAGTCTCAACTTTCAACAGGCCCAAATTTGTTCATCTTTGGAATTATTTCTCATTCTTATTTATGACGCAATTTCCCCAAGCTCTGTTCTGATTTCAATTCGATCATTCACGGTTTATCAATATACAACCCTCAGGTCTACTCTCTCTCTCTCTCTCTCTCTCTCTCTCTCTCCAGTTTTAGCTGCAACCTGATCAGATACTCTGAGAACGAAGATTATATCTTGTTTCAAATATCTGGATATGAGAGGCTATTAGGCGATGTTCATATCATTGATGAATTTTTAGACGCTCAAATATCCGAATCGGAAACAGTTTTCACCAGATCTTCTATTGTAATTGTTTTTTCGCAGCTTGTGTATGTAACACCGCTATACATATCTTATTTTCGCGTTATGGATGAGTACTTGCTTTGTTGTACATATTTTTTCTTTCAATTTTGTGATTATATGGATATAGATTTTTTTTTACAATAGATTTGGCCTTATATTCAAATCTGTGAGTTAGCTTTTTTAATTGTCTATTTTAGGAGTATGTATTACATTAAAATGTCTATTTTAATTTTTTATGTTATTGTCAGTTCTTTGTAAATCTTATGCATAGTTGATGGTGTGATCAAAGTGATTAATTTAACTTCAATTTAATGAGTGAAAGCACGAGTTTTTTCCGCCTCTTTCCCCAGTACATTTGTATTGAAAATAACTTCTTCTTTGAGTACTCTGCAAACTACGGAGTACGTTATTGTACTACTCTGTATATAGTTGATATGTGAAGCACATTTTTACGATCACGATAGTTTAATGTTATACCTCTTCGTCACATGGAAATAGTCGTGCTTCTAGAGATATTTTTGCCTCCCAAAGCTCTGTTTAATCCAATGAAGATACTTTTCAAGAAATTTGCCAAAATAGGATTAGTAACTAACAAATATGATAAATTTAGTTAAACTATCAAAATGTTTTATAGGACGGAGGTAGTTTATAGCTGTGTAGTTGTGTAGGCCTCATTTATGCTAAGGCGGGCACTGGTGGCTCACAATAGTTAAAGGAACGACTAGTTATGAGAACCTTGACTGACTGCAATGCTACTTCTTACTTATTAGGCACAAGCTTGGACATTGTGTGCTTCCAATGGCATCCTTGCAAGAAAGTCTGAATAGGTTTAACAAGCAGCAAGAGAAGTGCCAGTCAACCCTTACCAGTATAGCAGCGACTAGTAAAGCTGGATCCTCAAGGGCAACTCCTCCCAAGATGTCAGCATCATCAACTGCAAATACAAAGTCTCCTGCAACTGTAGTTAAATTCTCTAATGACACGGAAAGACTTCAGCATATAAACAGCATAAGGAAAGCTCCCGTTGGAGCTCAGATGAAACGTGTGATAGACTTGCTGCTGGACGTATGTCTCCTCCTTTCCTCTGTTGTTTCAACTTTCAAGTGTCTTTACTAATTTTATTATTGTGAACAGTTCTTGTTGCCTTATTACATTGACATATGGTGTCTGCTGCTAACCTTCTGGTGCACTTGTCATTTTTTACTCTGCTGATCTTCAAAATAATTTTATTCCACTCTTTTCATTCCTTGTTGGCATGAAGCACGTAGAGGAAGGCGGATGGATGTGTGTGTGTGTGTAAATATGGATATTTATAAATTAGTTGTAGTAGTAATACCTCATAGGTGTTGTCAGGTGTGGTGGATGAATGGATACTAAGTGCACTAAAGAACCTGACGTTTTTTATATTTTGTGAATTGTGATTAGCTATTGATATAGCCCGTCATTAACCAAGCCAAAACTTTGACATTCTCATAAGTTTCTTTAAGAAAACATTTGATAATTGACATATTTTATAATTGGAAATTGGAATGTTATGCTCTTTGTGGGAGCCCAAGGCAGGCAGAGAGCTATTCATTTCTGGGTATGGATCATATTGAGAATGCTAATACCTAATAGCTTAGACATTCAAAAGCAATTATAGTGTTCATTTATGTGCTCCACAGTCTGCATTTCAATTAAGGCATGCATATATCCTCTTCAGGGACAGAGAACCTAATTCGTTTAAGCTTTCATGTCTACAGACTAGGAAAGCTTATACAGTAGAACAAATAAATGAACAATGCCATGTTGATATGAATGCGAACAAGGCTGTATTCGACAGTTTGAGAAACAATCCTAAGGTCCATTATGACGGCAAACAATTCTCTTATAAGGTAATTCTACCCTTTTAGCTTCCAAGTTTCAAGATCGACATGTGAAGTTTCCTATTGTAACTGAACTTTTTCCTATCTACAGTCCAAGCATGATGTTAAAAATAAAGACCAGTTATATCGTCTCATACGGAAATTTGTGGAGGGTATTGCTATCATTGATCTCAAGGATGCATACCCAACTGTGATGGAGGACCTGCAGGTGTGTGTAGTAAACTTGTAATTGTGTTTTACTTTCATTCTTATTATCTTGCATGGCACATGAAGTATTGGCATTCATAGCTGATTTCTGAATGGATCAGAATTTGATCTCTTCTCTACTTGAACCAAACAAAGACTAAATTTGTGTCAATATACAACATAGTTGGGATTCAGGTGATGCCGATGCATATGTATAGGGAGTTTTTTCCATACCAGAATTCGAATTGGAATGTATTTATACTATAAAAAAATGGTAACGGCATCATAGAAAATTCCTAGATATAGGTTGTGGACTTTCAGATTCCGATGTTATGGGTAACTTCTTTTTTTCTTTGTATCTCTTAGGTTGTACTGTACTAGAATGCTGGACTTTCATCCCCTTGTGTATTTGTCTCTCTCTGTAGTCTTTGAAGGCAGAAGGACATGTTTGGCTGCTATCAAACTTCGACTCTCAAGAGGACATTGCGTACCCCAACAAAGCCGACGTGCGGATCAAGGTAGATGATGATCTGAAACAGCTCTTCAGAGAAGTTGAACTGCCGCGCGACATGCTTGACATTGAAAAAGATCTCCAGAAGAACGGGATGAAGCCCGCTACTAATACCGCAGAGAGGAGGGCAAAGGCCCAAGTCCATGGCATTTCCTCAAAGCCCAAAACCAAGAAAAAGAAGCAAGAGATCAGCAAAAGGGCCAAGCTCACTAACACCCATATTCCGGAGCTCTTTGCCCAACTCAAATCCTCTGGTTCGTGATTCGGGCGGGCTTTCTTGTTATTGATTGAATCTAAGTCGTCGAGCCTTCGAGTTCATTTGTTTAAAAAAGCATTTTGGGTGACATTTTCAAAACAACAATACCCATTGACTCTACAACTGGTCATCCATTTCAAGATTCAGGTTGTGTATGGTGTTGATGTTTTACAAGTACATAGAATTGGATGGAATGCCCAAATAGCTTCAGTTAATGGACACCCAGTAAATTGGGTCTGTTTTCTTGTTATTGTCATAAACTTGATCTTTTATGTGAGTTGTTAGAGTAAGATATATTGTTCCTTGTGGAGGCAAATCACACCTTTTCCATTCCCACAAATTGGTCATAAAAGATGGGTGCCTTCTATAATACAGTAATATGGAAACTCAAATAATTGATTGATCAATAATCTTTTCATTTCTATTTTTGGCATGTTTTTTGTGTGTAAAAAGTCCTCATTGCCCTTACAAGTACTCCTAAATTTCAACTCTCTCACCACCCATTTCTTATCTGTAACTCCCTGTATCATCCTTCGTTTGCTTCTCTTTCTTCTTTCTTCTTTCTTCTTCTTTTTCCTTCTTCTTCTCAATATATGTGTGCCCGGTAAAAAATTGATAAAATTTGATCTCGTAAAGAATATTCTGAGAATTGTTTTTTGATTTCCAATATATACTCCGTAATTAATTGGATTGGAAATGTGGGGAGCAATTGGGTTGTTAATTATGGTGGCAGTGGCCACCAATTATGTGATCCAATATTTTCACAAACGGTACAACTACCATCCCAAGTGCAACGGCGGCGGTGCTCTGCCGCCGGGCTCCTTCGGCCTCCCACTCGTCGGAGAAACTCTCAGCCTCCTCGCCGCCAGCCATTCCTTGGACCTACACCCATTCCTCTCCAAAAGATTTCAAAAGTAAGCTAATTAATTCATTACGTACTCTCAGTAAACTATAATGCACAGTTTTTTTGAAAGCCTATAATGCTTAGCTACTTAGCTTAGCTTGTTTTTAAGTAGTACATTATTGGTAAGAACTCGCAAGTCTTTAGGAGTTTTTTTTAAACCACCGGGAGCCTATAACCTTCTTTTTCGTAAAGCTTTCGAAGATATTTCCCGATGTCAATGTCTAACATCACGAATAAATTAATATGAGTATGTTACAGTAAAATATTTACATTTTGTTCTTATTTAAAGTTAAAAGGATTCTAATTAATACCAGTATGTTAGAGTAAAATATTTATGTCCTAAATTTAGGGCATAAATAGTGAATTTTACGTAGAGTGAATATCATTATTCACTTTTGGGGACCAACTCTCTCTATTCTAAATTAAAGATGGGTAGAGTGAATAAGTTTAAAACGTCCAAATGTTTTACTAGCTAAGATTAATACTCTCTTCCCTAAACTTTTTCTCCTTTCTTTCTTTTTTTCTTGTCCCACAAAATTCAGATTTTTGAAATTTTACAAACATAAAACTAAATAATTTCATTAATGGCTTTCAAAAAAAATTACTACCTCCGTCCCACTCTCTTTGTCCACTTTTGACTTTTGGAACTGTTCATTTAAGCACTTTTACTCATCAAATTCTCTCAATGTTAGACTTTTGGAACTGTTCATTTAAGCACTTTTACTCATCAAATTCTCTCAATGTGTAAGCCTAAATATAGTCATGTGTGATCTTGTTTGATTTTTCTTAACATATAGATTATTACTAATATATAATTTCTATAATTTTTTAATATACAAATTACAAGATAAAATGGATTAAAGAAGTGTATTGGATGATGTGCCAAAAGGTAAGTGGACAAAGAAAGTAGGACGGAGAGAGTAATAATGAATTAAAAAAACAGATATGGGTTGGTTTTCAAGACGAGCATAGCAGGAAGAGCAACAATAGTAAGTGCCCATCCGGAGCTGAACCACCACCTGTTCCAGCAAGAAGGGCGGCGCGTGGAGCTATGGTACCTCGACACCTTCTCCAAGCTCTTCGCGCAGGACGGAGAGAGGCGGACCAACGCCGCCGGCGAAGTCCACAGATACATCAGAGGCCTCACCTTGAACCACTTTGGCGCTGAGTCCATTAGGGCTCGACTCCTCCCTCCGATGCAACAAACTGTACGCGCCGCACTCGACGCCTGGTGCGCCGCCCCCGGCGCCGTTGAGCTCAAACATTCTATTTCAGCGGTAATTGCTACCTCCCTCCTATTCCTCCCTAAATTTTGATAATCAATTCAACAAAAATTGCATTTGATATTAGTACAAAATCCTTTCATTAGATTTATCTTACAGAAAATTATCACAAATTTATTTCATTGTATTAATATATAGTATAAATTTAGTGCAATTGGGAATTAAAATTTGTCCGGTTTGATTTGAAAAAGTCAGAAACCGAGACCAACTTTGGCATCATGAAATGTTACAACCATATATGGTTGTTTCATCTCAATATTCAACTATTTTCATTAATCCATTACATTTTAGAAATGTTACAAGAAGAAGGAAACTTGATAATGTGTGCATTATTGATGGGTGTTTGCAGGTGGTTTTCAACTTCACCGCGAAAATAATGTTTGGATATGAAAGTGAAAAATCGCAGAAAATTCTATTAAGTGAGAGGTTCACACACTTTGTAAAGGCTATGGTTTCCTTTCCGGTAAACATACCCGGCACCACCTTCTATAAAGTTATGAAGGTATATACAGAGTGGCATTATTAGAGTATAAAAATTTCCTTCACAGAATAATTTATCCATTTTAGTTCTACACGTATTAGGAAAAGTGTTGATAAGACGTTTGAATTTTACTAATATTAATGAGAAATGGAGGTTGCAGGAGAAGGAGAGGATTATGGATATGATAAGAGAGAGGGTGAGGGAAAAAGGAAGAGGGAACGGCGGCGTGGACTTGCTTGATCAGGCCCTACAAGACATGCGCGCCCCACACGCCGCCGCCTTCTTGAACGAGGACTTTGTAGTGCAGGTGATATTTTCAGGTTTATTTGCCAGTTTTGAGTCCAACTCTACCACCTTAACCCTGGCTCTCTATTTTCTCTCCCAAAATCCGGACGCTCTGGAGGAGCTTAGGGTAAGTACGATATTGAACACTACGTTTCATTTCATTTCTTTTAGTAGATATTGTTGCTCGCAAACTGGATAAATTCATTTAAAATTTTCAAATTTACCTTTTTAAGGGACAATGTGATGCATCAAGTTTGAAAGTAAGAACATTTTGTTACTCTATTTTGCACCTTTAATATGATTACTAAATTTCAGGCCGAACATGATTCTATAATAAACAAAAGAGAGAATCCAAATTCAAGTGTTACATGGGATGAATTCAAATCCATGACATTTACACTTCAGGTCAATCTGTTTATTTGCTATACTTTTATCCTTATTCTTATGTTATATACTCCATCTCATTTTTAAGTTGTGTGCTCATTATTCACATGGTTAAATTTTTTTCACTTTCTTTACCTATTTCATTTCCTTGCCAAAAACATTGTAAAAATATTGTAAATGATTAGTTTGTATGTTATAAATGTTGTAGGTGATCAATGAAACACTAAGGATCGCAAATACAGCTCCGGGACTGCTAAGAAGGGCTACAAAAGATATCAACTTCAATGGTAATTTTACTATTTCAAAGTTATGCCATGATGCATATAAGTCAAACTAAAAGATTAAATTCGATCGATTGGTACTAACATTTAAAATTAGGGTACTCAATCCCCGCGGGTTGGACAATCATGATTGCCTCTTCTGCTCATCACCTAAGCCCCAACACCTTCAAAGATCCTCTTGCTTTTAATCCATGGCGTTGGAAGGTTAATCTTAGACCTCATTCTACTCATCATTTTAATAACAATGTTTTATTCAATGCTACATTGCAATTTTAGTCCTTTTATTACTAGATGTTGGGGGAGAAGCAACAAGTAGGATACGACACCTACAAGGATCAACTTCAAGACAACCAACCAAACACTTGACCCAATTTACCACAATTGATTAACCAAGCACACAAAATCAGCAGCACATCAAATAAACCACAATCAAATATGAAGAATAAAGATGCAAACGACACACGATTTTTATACGTGGAAAACCCCTTCGATGTGAAGGATAAAAACCACGGGACTTATAGGGAGTCCGCCCTCTTCTTCTCTTATTATGCAAATTGAGGGTAAAAACACCNATCAGGATTATCACCCAAAAACGCAGCGTCGCACCAGCTGCGATTACAGAAGATCCGTAGCTCCGATTAATGTGAAACTTGAACAGATTGAAGCCCTAAGTGTTGGGAACAACCTCTGAAAATTTCAGCTCAATCCAACGGTTGGATCTCCGGCGATGATTGAATTTGTGCGGCTGGTCTGTAAATTCTGCACCAGCACCTTTCCTCTCTCTATTCTGTTTTTTTTTCTCTGCTCTGTCCGTAAGTGCACCACTGCCCAGCCCTTTTTTCTCCTTTTTGTTAGTCAACAAAGTAAAGGAAAAACTTTCCTATTATTGGACCCCCACAAAGAAAAATGGAACCCAAATGAAAATGGGCTGGACCCACAACACTAGACTCACTTGGCAATACTAGTCATGTTTTTTTTATTTTGGCAATACTTAAAATGGATTATAACTTTGTGATGAAAGTTATTTTTGTTAATATGAATGATTGTGTGCCAAACAAACAGAGCCTTGATTCGAGTGCGGTGTGCAAGAATTTCATGCCGTTTGGGGGAGGGATGAGACAGTGCGCGGGAGCGGAGTTCAGCAGGGCTTTTATGTGTACGTTTTTGCACGTTTTAGTGACCGAATATGAATGGAATTTGGCCAACGATACCTCGAACATTTCTCGAATGCCTTTCTTGAGTTTTGGAGATGGTGTGCATATTAACATCCATCACCAAAACAAGAAATTATAGTATTTGTTGGGGGGGGGGGGGGGGTATTGTTCAAAAAGAGTTTGATCTGGTGAACTTTGCATTCTCGTGATTTGCAACTACAATAATTAGTCGAATTATTCTCAGTTTTTAATTTAAATTTTAGTGCATGACGACGTTTATGTTTTTTTAGGGGACGTTAATGTTTTGTTTGTTTCCAAAGATATAGAGAAGTGAGAAAAATCGTGAAAAAATATCCCTTCTCAGCTTAAGACTCTTATTCAGTTTAGGATATTTGATTGGAGTTAGTTTTAAATCAATGCAAGTATAAATTGATGTGAAATTAAAAAATAGAAATTATATACTCCATTAAAAAGTTACATCAAATAAAAAACCATAGACCTTCCAAATAGATGAGTATTCTTTCCATCCTAAAAAAAATTTACACTCTTCACTGTTTAAAAGTCACAAAATGACAAAAACTTTGTTTATTTGTGTGTTTTGATTAATTATTTGATAAAATAAAATATTTTAGTCACCTTTTGTTGTGTAGAATTTTTGTCATAATTTTTTAAATGTGTATGTTATTGTTACTACCTCCGTCCCATTTTATAACGCCTGTTTCGGCTTACGATGTTTGACTAAAATTATTATCAAACCATTTTATATGACAAATGGTATAGAATTAAAAAATAAAAATTACATGTTAAAAAACTACATCAAAAGATCTACAAAACTAGTAATGACAATAATATTTTATTTTATCAAATTGCTAACGAAAATAGAGAAAGAAAGTGAATAAAGTTTGACCCTGTGAATAGTAAACATGCATTATAATTTGGGACGAAGGGAGTAATAAATTTTATATCAATCTTTAGATAAAATAAATTTAAAAAAAATGAAAAGTTATTCCGTTTTGGGTAAAGTGTGAAAAAATTTAAGACAGAGAGTATATCATATTACTCGTATGAGTTTGGAACACTAGTGGCCAATATTAAAAGATCACTATTAATCTCTCATAATTTTCTCCCACAAATGACACAATTCTCTTCTTCTCACTTAGGGGCTGTTTGACAACTTCTGAATGGGTAAATGTTGAATCAGTAAGAGGTCTGAATCATTAAGTGCTGAACCAGTAAGAGGTCTGAACCATTAAGAGCTAGTATATTGCTTAACTATTCAGAGGTAAATGTCTAATCAATTCAGATAACAGCTCTTAACCATTCAGACTTTGTATAATACTTAACCATTCAGAGGCAAATCTCTTAACCATTCAGACATCTGAACCATTAAGAGGCTGAAACAAACAGTCTGAACCATTAAGTGCTGAATCATTCAGACATCTGAACCATTAAGAGGCTGAAACAAACAGCCCCTTAATAAAAAATATGTAAAATGAAGTGGGCTTTTCCAAAATCATTTCCTCAAATGAAATAACAATGACATATATTTTCAAAAAGCAAAAAACAAAGCAAATTGTAATCATAAATGCCAAATTTACAAACATATAAATAACCATCTCATGTTTTACACACAAGACTAATAAGATCATCTGACTCACATGAAGAAGAGCTATGATTGTAATCTTCTTCATCTTCCTCATCATGATCATCATCTTCTTCATCTTCATCATAAACATCATCGTATTCATTCCCATAACTGGAGATCTGGTCAACAATCGTCCCATTTATATTTCCCACAAGCTCGTCAGCTTCTGCCTTCTCTTCTGTTGTTTTAGCAAGAGACAAGAGAACGTTCTTTGCCTTACGATCGGGTGGAACGCCACATGTCACCATCTCGTTGTACCAAGAAACAGCGCTCCCGAAATCCCTGTTCCTACCATATGCATCCATTATCGTAGTAAGGACCGTTTGGTTGGGCTGAATACCGGAAAGTCGCATTTCGTCATACTTCTTCATCATCTTCTCAAGATCGTTCGTCTTAGCATACCCTTTGATGAGAGTCCCATATGTGACAACACTCGGTTCAAATCCGTCTTGTTTTATTCTTCTAAAGAATTTCTCAGCTCCTTCCATATCTGAAGCGTTTACATATGTTGTGAGCATAGTTGTGTAGGAGCACAGGTCAGGGGCAAATCTGGGCATCAAATTCAAAATTAGCATAAAATCAATTAAAATGTTTTTGTTGTTTATGAAAATGTAAAGGATGCATAAAATAATTAGGTTGGTAAGAAAAAGTCACCCGTCTCTTCGCATGCTTTTAAAAACAATCCGAGCTTGTTCCACCATTCCTGAGATTGCAAATGCATCTAGTAAGATGTTATACGCTTTTTGTGTCGGCCTGAAAAGGTAAACAATAACAACAACAAACCCAGTAAGATCCTACAAAAGTAAGGTTTGAGGAAGGTAAACATATTTTTTTCATTCTTGACAAATAAGCCAAACTCATAGCAGATATCCGGGGGAAAATTTATTATATAGTTTCTCCATTGTAAAAGATGGGGTAAAAAACTTTTTACCTCACGCCAGCATCAAGCATTTCCTCAAAAACCGATAATGCTTCTTCTTCTCTTCTAGCCTTTCCATATGCATTAATCAGCAGGGCATAGCTTACAACATCAGGATGAAGACCAGCTCTCTGCATCTGAAACCGCATATATTTCCTCAACAACATCCTAGCATAACCTTTGTGTGTATTAAATAACCGATATTTAATGGAAGCAAGAAAATATTAAAAAAAAAACCTGATCATAGATTTTAGAAACCTCCTTATAGTTGGTGTTGAATGACATCAAGCTATTATAAGTGACAGTATTCTGTGGGACCCCTCGCTCAGTCATTAGCGCGAAAAGGTGATGAGCTTTCTTATAGTCCTTTGCCTTCTTGTACATGTAGATCATCATATGGAACATTTTCTGGTCTGGTTTCAGTGGAGAAACATCCGTGTTTAGGAGAGTTTCGAACACTTCTTCTGCTTCTTTATACTTGTCACCCTGAAACAATCTCATATTTATACTAGAGACCACATATAATCTGACATTCTGACAACATACATTTTCTAACACTATTTTTGGTTTGAGGAATTAGGAAAGAAAGGAAAGGAAAACTTTTTCTTTCCTTTTCCTCGCCAAGTTGGAAGGAAATTTGTTAAAGAGAAAATAAAGGATAAAGTGATAAACACATGTAGTGTGAGATTTAAGGCTAAACACTGAAGTTGTTGCCAAACGGGGACTAAATAGTTACCTCAACAAAGGTTTTAAGGATAATTTGATATGTTAATGCAGAAGGTTCGGGGCCCGCAGATTGCATTCTTCGAAATATTGCTTCAGCTTTACTGCATTGACCTCCACGTCCGTATGCTTCCATTAGAGCAGTGTGAGATATCACGCTTTGCGGATATCCCATCTTATTCATGTAGCCCATTACCCTTTCAGCTTTATTGAAGTCCCCTTGTTTCCCATAAGCCGTGATCAGCATTAGAAAGTCCATTTCATTAAAGTCCCACCATTGTTGAGTTTGAAGCCATTCAAGAATCTAAAAGAAGATTTTTATCTTGGTAAATATGAGTTTATACATGACCACAACAAACACACAGGAGTTTAGCTCTCCAACAATTGGATCTGTTTACGCGTATACTAATCACACACCATATTGTAGCTTTATTTTATGCATAATTTTTACATGAAGTTGGAAACATGAAATTATGCTCTACAGCTCTAGGGCTAAGAAGTTCAATTATAAAACATGTGAAAAGCTTCTTCAATTTTTTTCTGATAATCAACAACAACATTACCCCAGTGCCTCAATGGCTCCCGCCCATTGCGGGGTAAGGCCGTAAGGGGGGTCAAATGTACTCAGTCTAACTCCTATGTGCAAATGACCCATGACGAGCGTCGAAAGTTGCATTGACTAACTGCTACTTCACAATTGCAAGAAGCGCAGACAGTTGAAAATACAGAAAGTTGCATTTTTTTTCCTGATAATATAGAGAAAATTGTGAGGCAAATGGAAAGGGAAAAATACTTGAGGAGTGCACTTTCCAATGTAAACCAAACATAAGAAACTTTTCTTGGCATTTTTTTCTTTTTCCCTAGTATTTTCTGGTATCCAAATGGAACCTAAAAGAGTTCTATAATGAAAACTTGAACAAGAGTGGCACTGCCACACTGTAGTTTACATGAATTTATAAACACTCCTTTTGAAATTGATTCAACATGATAAGACATGCATGTAAAAGTATTCTGATTTCTAACTGAACCCCATTGTAAAGAGAAGAATGGCACAAATTATTATAAATCAAGCATGAACAAAAACAAGCCCTATAAAATCTCACAAAAAGGTTATATTTAACCAGTAAAATCCCACAAATTATTAGATTCTTCAGAATCTCCTCTTGGACAACAAAACATCTATCTTTTGCAGGGAGATTTAAGCTCATTAATTCTGTTCTTTTTGGGGTAATATCATTCTGGAGTAGACTTTTTGTTATTCCAAATAAAGTCATGAAGAATATCCAAGCTATCTGTAGGAACCTCTTATGGGGATCTTCCCCTTATGAGTTAGGAGGAGGTTTGCTTACCAATAAATTATGGTGCATTAGAGCTGAAAAATCTTGTTAATTGGAATAAAGCATGTAACATGAATCTGTTATGGGCAGTGAAGATGAAGAAAGATGTGTTATGGGTGAAATGGATGCACAATAGGTATCTCAAGAAGAACACAATCGGGGAGATAAGTCCTAGACCAGACACTTGCTATACTGGAGGAAATTACTTTATACTCCCTACTAGAGAAGAACTCAGACATGCCAAGGAATGGAGATTATACGGTTATGCCACTAGAGAAGGGTGTACTTGGTTGATGGGTAATAAAAGCAAGAGTCTTGGATTTAAGATAGTCTGGAATAAAATCTCTATCCCTAAGCATCAATTCATCCTCTGGCTTTGTTGGAGAAACAGAAAATAGACCAAGGCGAAGCTTAGTAGGTACCTGCAAATTGATAAGTGTTGTGTTTTCTGTAAGAATGCAGATCAAGACAACGACCACTTGTTTTACAATATCCCTTTTGCTAGAGCTATTCATGAAGAAAT